ATGTACTTAATAGGTATTTTACCTAACTCAGATAGGTAGATTTGGCCAATGGAGCTTTTTTCTTTTAGTATTTATCCAGTTTCAAATTTAATACAACCTACCATTATGATTTCACCAGTTGATGATAATTTTGTCAAGCATTACAATTCTTACATGAGAATTCTTATGAAAATAAACTAGATATAGATTTAGATAAGTTCAGGTTATGCTTATTGATATATAGGGCTTGACAAATCTAATCAATATTTCTTCTCTGTAAAGATTTCAACTTGTTTTACAGATCCATATTGATGCATTGTAGTTTTTAAATAATGTTTCACAAAGCTGCAGAAAATGAAAAAAGATTGTTTTGATCCTATATCTTGTAAATATGAGATTAAAAAATTAGAGTTCTTCAACCTGGTAACAAGTTTGTAATTTAGGTGACTAAGTTGAGCCATCTTTTAAAGAACTGGGTAAGTGTTAAAATTTTCAACCCTTAAGTCTAATTCTAGTTCAAGAAGGTAAATTGGGTACACACTGTGGTCAACTATATTCCCTGAGAATATATTGTCATATAACCTAGACTTTTAAAAAAAAAAAAAATGAAACAATGGAGAAACACTATACCCAAGACTGTTCTATCCTCAAATCTGTGGAGAAGGTGGATGCTGAGCTGTTGAAATAATAGACAGACTTCTATTATAATAGTTCAGAATTGCAAAAATTCTATGGAGGGAAGGAGTTATAAACGAGGTGAAACATTGAGAATTAATTGAAGGCATCTTTATTGCATCAAGCAGTTGGCATTTACTCCCAGGCCGAAAAACAAAAAAGGTTATCGGCGGGTGGGGAGGGCAGGGTGGGAAAGGGGTCCTGTAAATAAGTGGCAGAAAATGCCAGTAGAAAGCTGAGGAGTCAAGTGAAGATATTGGTTCTTGGAGCAGCTGTAGTTCTAGAATTTGGAGAGTTCTTAACTTGTCAATAAGAGTTTTTACCCACTCATTCTAAAGTGAAGTTTTCTAAAGGACACGACTCACCCTATTCTACTTTACTTCACATAGAATCACCAGTTACTAGAGGGACTTAATGGGAAAACTGTCTTACATATAGAACAGTAGAGGAAACTCACACCATTCTATATATAGTATTTCTTCTTAAAATATAAGTGGGCAAAACAAGATATTTGAGAAGAATCAGTAGCATGGAAGAAGAAGACTAAGATGAACAGAGATAATTCAAGGAATGGAAGAAAACATATAACACCTAGCAAATATTCAAGGAGACCAAAGAGATGTTACATCCATGAAACAAGAATGGTTTGCAATAAAAAAGTCTTCATCAGAGACCAAGGCAGAACTCTCAGAAATGAAAACTAACTGGAGAAATTTAAAATTTTAATTAGAAAATTAATACAGTTAAGAAAATATTACAGAATGTAGAACAAAGAAACAAACAGAAAACAAATTAGTGAAAAATATTACACACACATACACACACACACACGCACACACATATCTCTCTCTATATATATATTTAGTTCAGTACTTGCAATATAGGCATCCTAGAGATAAACAGTGGGCAAAATAGAAGTAAAAATGATCAAGGAACTAATAAAGGAGATTTTCCCAGACTAAATGCAGTCATAAGTCTGCAGTTGGAGTTTGCTTAAGTGTCCAGCACATTAAATTATAAAAGGCTCACCACCTAAACAGATTTTTGAGACATTTGAACATCCAAATGAAAAAACAGAAAATCCTAAAAGCTTTCAGAGACAATAAATAACTACAAAGGAAGAAAAATATGATAAGCAATAGACTTTCAGCAGCAACATGGAGGCTAGAAGGCAATGAAGCGATGCCTTTAAAATTCCAAAGGAAAATTATTTCCAACCTAGAATTCCATACCCAACTAAAGTACCAACCAAGTATGAGGGGAAGTTATAGACATTTACATATATGCATGGGCTTACAAAATTTAAACCCTTTCATTTTTCTCAGAAAGTTAGCTGAACATATACTTCTGTATATTAAAGAGGTAAGCTATAGATTCATCCCAGAATAGTAGACAAATCCTGAGGAATGGCACTACAGCATGTCGTAGAGAGAAACCCTGCCAAAGGAGAGTAGGAGGAGAAAGGATAAGCTTCATAAAATGAAAAGAGTAGCTCTCAGATAAAAATAATTAATAAGAGCATACATAAGCCTCAGGATTCAAAGTAAATTACGTACAAACGATAAGTCAAAACTTTATGGAATGTCAGAACATTTTTATCAGAAAGTCTCAGACTAAATATAATGCAAACAAAAATGTGGTTAATGCAGGGGTCCCAGGCCCCCTGCCGGCACAGTGGTGGGCAAGCATTACTGACTGATCCCCACCTCCTGTAAATCAGCAGTGGCATTACATTCTTATAGGAGAGGGAACCCTGTTGTGGACTGTGCATGTGAGGGATCTAGGTTGCATGCTTCTTGTGAGAATCTAATGCCTGACGATCTGAGGTGGAATAGTTTCATCCCCAAATCACCCTCCTCCACCACCCCACCGCCACCCTCATCTGTGGAAAAATTATCTTTCGTGAAACTGGTCCCTGATGCCAAAAGGTTGGAGATGGCTGGTCTAATTGATTACAAGAAAAGAAAATTCACTTGATCTTCATGCTAGCAATATTCTCCTTCTACTGGCTTGGGACATTGGACCTGACCTGGCCCAAGAGGGAATAACATTTACAAACTCACAGATAATATATATATAAAGATATTATATTAATATATGAATATATATTAATATAGAAATATATATTTATATATAATTATTTTATGCATGTATATGTTTAACTATTCATTTTTTAATTTTTAGGTGAACATAGAAAAGCTTGGAATAAGAATTCTCAGCTGTGATTGCAGGATAAACTGTAAACATTACCAACCCCAAGAATATAAAAGCAAAAGTGCAGCTGACAGAATATGGGATGTGGCAGATCGGGGCAAAATTACTCCCATCATTAAGTTTGCAGAGTGAGGAAATACTGTCAAAATTTAGTGAAACAAGAAATAGAAGTTTAAGTGTATTTTTAAAGTTATAAATATAACAAACTAAAGAATATAAGTATATAATGATATATAATGAAAATCTAATTAACAAATATTGAGAACAGGATTGAGAGAGATCAACATGCAGTGAGCTACATATGCACCTTTCACAGAAGGTGTTCAATAATGTGGCATAAGGTTGTTGAATCTAGAAATTTTAAAAAGTAAAAAAAAAATTATCTAGAGATATGAAGATAGTCAATAGGGAACTTAAAAATGAAAATGGTTGACTTTCTCTCTGTGCAAGCAGCCTGGGGAAAGCTGTGACTATTGCTCTGAATTGTATGTCCTCCGACAAATACTATGTGTTATTTGTCAAATGAACATTTGTTACTTTGATACAACTATTCCTTTCAAAAATAAATGAATAATTTTAAATCATCAAGATCTTGCTTAGACATGAAAAAGAACAGTCTAGACAACATAATTCTGGACTGGTTTATCTACTGGAGAAAATGATCATAGCTGCCATTTCCTGAGCACCTATTTTATAAGAGGCAGGATGCTGAGTACTTTCTATACTGAAGATCACAACAAGGTAGAAATTATAATGCTTATCTCAAAGATGTGGAAACTGAGCTTCAGGGAATTTAAATAACTGGTCTGAAGTAATAAAGCAGTTGAGTAGTAGATCCAAACCTATTCCAAAGTCTAAAAATATTTAAAAACCAAATGATAGAGGTCACATTAAATGGTCCCTCAAAGCATATTTCAAGTCTGACATTCTCTGATTCCAAAGCAAAATAAGATAACATTCTACTCAATTTTTCACGTTAGCCTAAAAATCAATACAGAAACCCAATATAATGTGGGTAACTAGACAGTTTCATTTTCAGGGGTTGCGTGTAAGGGCCAAAGGGTTTATTATCTAGCACAAGTGCCGGAATGTTCACTTGCAGGCCCTTCGTACATCTGGTGTGCCTGCGTCACACTTACACATACTTTATTTGATTAATGTTTTCTTGAGCCTACAACATTTCTGCATGCAAAAATATTACACTGTTATAGGAAAACAGTAAATCAAACAAAAAGGGGTCCCTTTATCAAAGCCTAGTTTATGTTTATTTTAAGAGTGTTCAAAAATCCACTCCATGCGGTTACGTTTTACGGCTCATGAAAACAAGCTCCAAATGTACAGATATTTCATAACATTCCTATCAGCATATAAGAGCTTCTTTCACAGCTGGCACAGAGTGTCCTTTCTTCTGTCTCTTCTAAATCGGTAGGAAGCTCCTTAGATCTCCTTTTGCGAACATTTTCTCTCCTGGCAGTGGGGAATCACAAAGGGGACGCTATTGATCTGGCGCTGAAGGGAAAATTTCCACACGATGAGATAGCTAACATAAGTACAAGTTCAGGCAGGAAACCAATGATTTTATTAATTATTGCTGGTCATGTCATTATAAAAAATACTCAGGCTAGAAGGAAAAATACAGAATGCTAGTATGAGTGTGTGTGTGTGTGTGTGTGTATGAGAGAGAGGAGAGAGAGGAGAAAGAAGGGACGGGAGATGGGAATGAATGCCATCCTGTAGACACCCCACCAGCACTCACCAGAGGAAATCAAGTTGCCGCCAGTTTGGCTGGGGTTCAGCGCCATCTGCATAGTATTTAAAAGTGAGAGCCAAACTCTGAGCTATTTTATTGGAGTTAGTAAGGAAGCTCTCCAATCTATATCTGAAACTCAACCGTTCCAGCTTCTGAGCATCACTAAAAAGAGCTTATGGAGGTCAAGGAACTTAAAAACAGCACGAGGAGCCGCTTTGCAGTCCATATAAAACTAGGAATCAGGAGCCTGGGCGTTTGCAGAGACCACTTGGTCTCTAATGAATGGTGGGAAAATCCTGAGATGGCTCTTGGGAAGAAGATTGTGAGATAGAGGACAATAATAATACAGTATTAATAGGTAAACTAGACACAGAGTACTTACTCTGGGCCAGGCAGGGTTTTGAGGTTTTTAGATTCATTAATTCATTCAATATCCACGGTAGCTTCATGGAGTATTATTATTATTGTCTGTATTTTGCTGAAGAATATTCCAGGATGAGTTCCTACATTATGAATTCTCTTCCTAATGTGATTTTTAATGTTTGTTCCCTCAGAATCCAAGACTGTACTTGTTTTTTGTTTCCAAGTGACTCAGAAGTATGCAAATGTGATTCTCAGTTTCTTTCAATATCCATGAAGCCTTTAAGAAAAACACAGATTTGAATGGATTAATAAGATTTATTGACAGATATAGTTAATAGTGATAACAGCTATTTATTGAATGCTTTCTAGTGCCAAACTCTCCTTTTCATGTAATAAATTAAATTAATCCTTATAACAAACCTATAAGGCAAATGCTGTTATGACACCCATCTATCAATGAGGAAACTAAGTCACCAAGTATCAGGTAGTGTACCCAAGAACACAAAGCTAGTAAGAGGAGGAATTAACCCAACGCCACAGACTCTAGAGTCTATTCTATTGTTCTCATATCTATTGTTACCACCCCAAAACTTAGTGGCTAAATCCAATACTTTATGATTATTTCTTTCTCAGTTCTGCAGAATAACTTGGCTCAGTGAGTGGTCTCACTGGGATCTCTCAAGAAATTATAATCACATGGCAGCGAGGGCTGGAATCAAATGAAGACAAAACTGGACTGGATGTCTAAAATGCCTTTTCACTTACAAGCCTGAACCTTATCAACGATGGCTGGAACTGTTGGGGGTCAGCTAGCCTCTGCCTCTCTCCCCATGTGGCCTCTCAGTGTAGGTAGCTTGGACTTCCTCACAGTGTCGTGGTCTCAGGTCTGTCAGATATCTCATATAGCCTGTGGTTTTGCCCAAGTGAGCAATCCAAAAGACCCAAGACACTGTAGCAAAGTTTCTGTTCACTTAGCTTTGGAGGGATGCAGCATCACTTCCACTGCATTCTATTAGTTGAAAACAAGTCACAGAATCAGCCCAGATTCAAGAAGAGGGGATTTCACAACAACAGTGTAGACACTTGGAAGCATGATTCACTAGGGGATTATGTTTGGAGACCAGTACCATAGCTCTTAGCTACATTTATTTGCTGCTTACTCTGCAAACTGGAGAGCTGGAGTTTGGGTTTTAGTTTGAATGAGGCAAAACAATGCTACTGAAAATAAGTATGTAGGAAATCCTTTCCAAAATAATAATCTTTTTCTACTAGAAAAATCTGCAGAGGTGCCATTGAGTCGGCCTCAAGATGATAACAGCAAGAGGAATTACAAAAATGTCTGGAAAGACTCTAAGCCTCATTAGGTAAGATAAAAATTAGCATTTTTTCTAACTCCTTCATTCTTTGGAGCAAAGTTTAAAGTCTCCCTAGAATGCAGGCATTTTCCTATTGAGTTCTTGTCCTGGCTCTGCTGCTAATTAGCCTTGACCAAGTCACTTAACTTCCCAGCAACAGTTTTCTCTTCCTTTAAAAGCCAATTATAAATATTTTCCATCATGGAATTGATGGGAGGATCAAATGAGATTACGTACATAAAAGTGATTTGAGAACTGAAAAGCAAAGAACTTCTTACTATTGGATCTTGCTATTGGCAGACTATTAGTTTGAAGGATGTATCCTCTCTTAGTCAGTAAGCTCTGGGATATCAGGGACTCTCTTGTGCAATGTCCTCATTGCCTAGAACAGAGAAGAGCCCATAGTTAAGGGGAGCATATTCTTTAACATCCAAGTAGGAATACTTTTAAGGGTGAAGAGGACATTTTTAATAATTGTGCTATACAAGAGAAGGTATAAAACAGATGTATGGAATCCTATCCTAGTAGACACGCAATAAACATTTGTTGAATATAAATATTATTTGTATTATTTATTTTTATTTTCGTACTTCCTCATTGTAAATTTCTTGTCATTCTCTCTTATCTCATCCTTCCTTCACTCTCATCCAAGTTAATCTTTAATTCCAAAGCCAGAAGTCAAAGTTGATCCCATATCTAATAGCAAGGTGGCCCTTTCATTAATAGATTTTCACTACTCTGAATGTCAACCTACCTCCCAGAAATTAGAGTGACATTTTATTAATGCCGTATGTAATTTTTTAGTACCTATGACATAGCAAGCTCTGTCATAGCTGGTCAGGGGGAAGCAATGGCTAAGACAAGAAAGATCCCTGCCTTCAGAGAACTTATGTTCATGTGTAGGAAGACAGATGATATACATATAAAGATAATGATCTCAGATTCTCCGTGTTGTAAAAGGTAATAAAACAGGAAGATTTGGTAGTCAGTGATGAAGGTTTTAGAAAAGGCAATCTAGAGAAAGGAGGCGTTTCAGCTGACATCTGAATGAGCGAAAGATCTAGACATTTGAAGAGCAGAGGAAAGTGCTCAAAACAGAGAAAGCAGAAAATACACAGGCCCAAGGCGGGATGAGCTGGACAGTGCACTGAGGAAAGGAGAGCTCATGTGGCCAGAACCTAGGAAACCAAGGCAAGAGGTACAATTGTGATTGGAGAACACTGGCTTTGAATTCACATAGACCTCTGTTAGACCTTCTTATTCCTATGGTATTACCAATTACACCCTCCAAGCCTACTTTTTAGAATTAATGTGAGGATTAAACAAAAGAAATGTATTTGAAGGCTCCTACACAGTGTAGATGTCATACAAATGAAGAATGCTAAAGAGTTTCAAAATTATCTTAAGTTTCTCAAATGAATACTCCTGAAATAATTCATGAAGGGCTGTATTTGTAACCCACTAATCCAAGGACTAGGTGTAAAAATTAAAACTAATATCATCTGTAAGGAATTGGAGGTTATATATTTTTTCCTGATGGTCATTGAGAACTTATGTTCTCAATGTGGTCGATCTGAATACAGATTAGCAGAATACAAATTTGAATAACCTGGCAATCATTTGTGGGAAACTCCTCTTGCACCCTTCTCTTGTGCCCTTTTCCTGTTTCCCAATCTCCTTGTCTCAGTGTTCCTTACATATACTATTAATTTTCCCACTAATATAACCGGGGCTCAGGCATTAGGTTCCCCAGCTTCTTTTTAACCCTCACCACAGCCTACTCCCTTTCATAGAATAAAATACTGCCGTTTCTAAAGAAACCTCAAGCTAGTCAGTCCATACTGAAAGGGTTTAAGCTTTCTAGTTAGAACTTGGCCTTTTTGTGCTTGTCCTGCACTGCACCTGTTGTAAAGATGCCATTCCAGCCGCTCTCCACTGAAATGGACAGTGTATGAAGTTCTTTGTGCAACTCTGCAGGTGCATTAATTATAGACTACCTGGATGCATCTAGAACATTTGGCAGTAGCAAGACTGCGGTTAATGTTCTGTTAAACAATGTTTCCAATGGTGTATATTGTGGAGAATTACAAGAGACAGTCAGATAATGGCTTACTATAATCCAGGAGCCATCTGATCACCTCAACTGCATCCCTACTCAATTTTGTTGCAAAATAAATCTTTTTCTTTGATAATGAGTCTTCAAAATTGGTAATAGGTATCTGCCTTGGAATAAGGTATGAGAGAGTAATATTTACTGCCACAAAAATAATTTCTAGTCAGGGAAATTCATTAGCATTACTGAAATGTTGGCTCTTGTATGAATGTGCCCTAGTTCTTCTCTGAAGCCAGGAATCCCAAAGGCATTTTCTTACTTTGATTTGAAATGTGGAAAAACTCAGCACTGCCAAAGATTGCATTTTTTTAAAAAGGTGAATCTGAGTGGATTTTCCACCAAATGCATAAGAAACCAAAGCAATTTGAGTGACCTGTATTGAAATTTAAAAGCACTCATGTGGAATAGTCAGCGTGTAGATCTCTCATTTGAAAAAGAATAAAGGTAATTAAATCATCCTTTTTTAGTTAGTCCAAAGAATACCCACTAAGATGAAACCAGTTTGCCAGCTCATTAGGTAAAGTACATAAAGGCAGCCAAAATCATTTTAGCTCCCCGGAAGCTCAGAGAGCTTCAGGGAGTGGACCAACCAATACAGAAAGATTGGTCAGGTATGTGTCCTCTTACCCAGGGAGAACAGCATCTCCACTAGAGGAATGGCCTGTTTCCCTAGTCTTTCAACTAGATAAGAAAATGTTTTTGAGAGCAATTCTTTGACTCAGTGAGGAAGGTGCAGGTGACAGCAGGGAGGGGCTGGAGGTTTTTTTATTAGAAGGAAAAGAAACTTAAGAAATCACGCTGTTGAAACTCACTATTTTCAGAGAAAGAAAGTTTTCAGTTACTCATGTTCAATCATCTTGTAATAACACTGAAGGAATATCAAGGAAGTATTCCTAAAAGAAAGTTATTTAAGGCTAAGTTTGGGCAACTCCTTCAGTTACATTGGGCCATTAGTACCTAATGATAGAAGCTGTCTTGAGTATGAAAAGGGATAAAGCAGAAAAAACAAGAAAGGAATGCTGGGAAACAACCAGACGTAAGTCAATACTTCAATTTCATACTTGCACTAGTTCCTCTGCTTTTCTTTGTTTCCTCTTGTTCTTCCATGTTTACCTCTTCCAAAAAAAATACAGCCCAAATCTCACCAGAAAAAAAGCTAACTTTCATGTCTCTCAGTAATTTTATTTAAAATACCATCACCATAGACTAGGAAAAGCTATTTAAATGAAACAGCATAACAGTATTCCATTTGCCTCTGAAATCATGAAATCAAATATAAGAAAACTATTTTTTTTCAAGTTAAAACCTTGAAGTTTCCATGGAAAACGAAGATCATATTCCCTAATCATTAACAACTATGTTGTATCCCAGCCTCAGTCTCAAATTTATTGAGTCCCATGTGTACAGTATGGGATATCTCCACTGTGATCCCTTCAAAACCAGCATTTATACTGAACCTATAACCTCCTCTTCAGATTTTTTGTCATGGCATACACAGATTCCCAGATTCTCATACTCCTACCTCCGGGATCATTGTGGAGCTACTGCTACTCTCCTTCACAAATAATTCAATCCCATATACTTCACTAAATATGTACTGAACTCTATTAAGTGCCTGAGAAATAAAGCTAAATAAAAGAACAATCCTACCTTCCAGAGACTCAGAGTGTGGTGTGAAAGAAAGACACATATGCAAGTGACTACAACACAAGTTGGACTAGGATCAGCTCTAGCGTAGACATGCAGAATGAAATGACTGAGGAGTAGAGTTTCAACAGGCAGAATGTGAGGGAAAGCATTCGAAGCAACTGTGACAACACGAGTACAAGCACAGCGTGAGAGACTAGTGAGTATATTCAAGGAAACGAAAGCGCTCGGTACATGGCGTGCCTGGTGGAATTTGGTGAGAGAAGAGGCTGGAGAGCTAATCCACGCCCTCTGTCCATCAGAGCACAGATCACACCAAATGTGATCCTTCCTTACCCTGCGTTCTTTTAACAAATCTGTTCCTATTCATGTTGCCAGGAGGAGATTTTTCAGTCCGTTCATCTCTTCATGTTTGATCTGCCTGATTACATTATAAATCCTTAAGGAAAGAAATCATGTCTCTTTCCATGTACTCCAAACAAAAGCAAGTATCGTGCACAAAAAGCATGCTTCACTTCTTGGAGATTCTAGTGGAGATACTTGGCGTATTGCTCCAGAGCCCAGGGTTTTTAAAGCAATTTTCTTCACATGTAAAGACTTCAGTAGAGAAGAAAACATCCTTAGGAAGTATCATGAGTTACCAACATGGGGGCAAGGGAGAGGAATCTAATTTTTGCTATTTAGAAGCAGGCCTGGAAGTGTGCAATATTCATGATTCCCTGATTATTACAAGATGGGAAAAATCATGGAATGCTAAAAAAAAAGAAGAAAAAAGAAAAAAGAAACCTCCTACTGCCTAAACAACCATCTCAAGCTAGATACAATAGATTATGAAAATCAAACTTCAAGATCTACTAAAATCATCAGTCTGAGACATCTTATTCTCTTTTTATCTCCTCCCTATAACAATATTTCACAGTTCAAGTTTTGTCATCACTTGTCCTTTTTACAATCTTTTTCACAATTTTAAAGAATGTAACATGCGTTCTGTAGAAGAAAAAAAAAGACAGGATTGCACCAGATTTACTCTGACCTTTTTAAGGTTCCAAATTTAGTTAGTTAGCCATTTCTATCCTCCTAGCTTTTCAGAAGCTCATGTGTTAGAACTAAAAATGGCAAACCTCTCCAAATTACCAGCATTTAAAAGGTTAAACAGTTTATTTTTATCCCACTAGCAGAGCATGAAAGCTCCAGTGTGTTCAGACTTGCTATGACAAAGATCACAGCAAGAATCCAGAAATTATCTGTTTTTAACCCTTTCCATTTACAATCCTCAGATCTCACTCTGGGGATTTTCTTCCCAAATTTTGCAAGCTGTTAGACGGTGGCTCTCAGAATCAGTCAGCTAAAGTCCTGTGGTGCAAGGCTACTACCTTTCTTCCTCAGAGTAGATCATCTCGGTCCGTAGGAGTCCAGAGTGCAGAATTCAAAGACTCCTAAGTATGGAACTCTCACTGCAGCATATGGACTCCACCCTCTGGGCTACTTCAAGGAACATCTGATTTTTCTATGTAGGGCAGTTTTCCCTCAAATGAACATTCTGATTTAGGTAGATAGATTGCTTTTTTCGTGGCCAGAAATAAATATTTTCAACGATATTGAGTGAAGCAAGAACCAGATTCACATACCTTTTGTGTAAGGAGACACAAATTCATAGAAAAAAACAGGAACTTTGGAAGTAAATACCATTTACAAAATATATATTTTGCTTCTCGCTCTCTCAAACTCTCTCTCTCTCTCTAATTCTCACAATTGCTTTTTAAAATTCACCATTTTAGGGCACACAGGCAAAAAGCGAGAACCCCAACAGTAATAGCAGAGGCTTTGTCTTGATACCTATCAATTACACTTGTGTAAGACTTCTTTTTAAAGATAAATGGGGGTCACCAAGAGGGAAGGCTTGGCAAAGGAAGGGAAATTAATCTACAGGTGCTCCTCGACTTCGCATGGGCCTGCAATCCCGATACAGTTCTTAACAGCCTTGTTTCTTGATTCCCTTCCACCTGAGTACTTTCAATTTTCTACCAAAATAGCCATGGCTTGTCTTTTCCTACCCATTTCGAAACCTGCTTTCAGAGCACATAAATGGGTGGCATAATTTTCAAGCATGAGAAAAGTGAACTACCCACTCTCACAAAACAAAGCCTGCTGGGCTGTTAAAAAATGAAAGAATTAAAACAGAGTTTTTTGTTTCTGATACAAGAATGCTTGGTCTGGCCTTCGGAGGCATGGCTTAGGCTTTTGTGACCCATGCTCTGAAAGCCAGACTAGAAAGCAGAGTCAGGATGTGTAGTTAAAATACAGGTATTAGATAAAGAAATTCACGACTTATGCAAAACTGATTCTCTCTGGGGTCCTAAAAACTACGCCTCTATTCTCAGAAAACGAAAATGTAAGTGATAATAATGTGTTACATTCCTTGAATATATCAGCCGTACAAAACCACTGCTAGCCTAGGTTTTAAAAAATGTATTTGCTCTCTTCAAGGAATCTTTCTGCATAATATAAAAGTTCTCTTTTTTGTCACCTTTTTGAACACAGGGATGATGAAAACGCAGAGAAGTCAAATCTTATGTAGAGTTAAGTTCTAAATTCAGGATGTAAGGTGAAAATTACATAGTTGAAATTACCCTTGAAAATCCCTCAAATTATCCATAAAGTAGAGTATACATATTTTTGTATGTACAACATTATACAGTAATTTTTATTCATGCTAAATTATGGGAACTTCAACACTGGATTAATGGAAGGAATAAAAAGAAAATCTATGCAACTCTCTGGACATTCAAAATATTCTGTAGGAAAAGATACAGCATTGTAAATCTTCTTTTTGCTTCCTTGATTTGCTCTATATCCCCTTAATATTTATCTTCTATAACCCTAATACATGTTAATAGATTTTTTTGTGTGTGCGAGGATTATCCAAGTTAGTAGAGCCAAATCCTACCCCAAAACATATGTATGGAGGCTTGATATCATCGCTTGTGATCAATTATGATTTTATAATCCTAACAATTCTAATAATGCTATAAAATGTATTCAAATTCATTACATTATCTGCCTCTTATTAAGTAATGGGGACAGGTATGAGCATTGTCGATTGTAGATGAAGGGAAGATGACCTGGAGTTTAAGCTTCTTGTTCAAGGGCACACTGCTCATTAAGGGCAGAACAGGGGATTAAAACCAGATTATCTCATTCCTAGTTTAGTGCTTCTGCCAAAGGATCAGAAGGCGGCAATTGACACAGAAACAATGTACCTTCATTTGGGAGACTGTAGGGTATTTAAAAAAAAAAATCAAGAGGAAGGAAGGAAAAGCAAAGCCTGTTGTGGTCATCCACTGTAAGATCCATCTTTTGGAGGAGAAAAGGATTTATGAATTAACAAAGACAAAATAAAAAATACGGGTGATTTATGAGGATTCTAGGAAAAAAAGAGGAGATAAAATCCCAGTAATCTGGCAATGTTTGGAATGTCAGTTATTTAGAAAGACTTACACTGACACCAACCACAGCTGAAATACTTTTTGCACATACCCTTAAAAGCTTTGCAAAATATATCAAGGGAAAAGAAGAAAAAAGAAGGAGAATAAAGAAAAGAAGGAATAGAAGAAAAACACAGAGATATATCCTCAGAGATAATTTCTGCTGAACCTAGAACCCACTGAGAGCCTACACCCTTCTCTCAACTACTCTCATCTCTCAACTACTCCTTACCCCAACACTCACATGCAAACACACAATAATCACCCACATTTATGTTTACGAAGTGTGGAGAAAAGGAATTCCACTTTTACAGTATTGAATAAAAATTGACATGATTACATAAGCACCCAAAGGGTTGGTGTTCTATAGGAAGGTTCTGTTTTAAAGCTGGATGAGAGAAAGGACTGCTCTTTGGTATTGAGGAAATCCATTCTGATTTTATCCAGTTTCCATTTTGCTTTAATCTAATGAGAAAATAGTCCATGCTGGTAGTAACCAAAGGAGTTATTTTTTTCCAGATTAGGATTACCTTGCCCATTTTCTTGAATTAGATGCAGACATTCTCATTTCGGTTTCCATAACGAAATAAAAAAATTAGTTGTGCCCAAATTCTTCTTGGAGTAATGGTACAAAATAATCTGTTTTGCTAAAAAATAAGAAAATTATTTTATCATCCAAATAAACAAATGCATTCTAATTAGTATGAATGTGGACTTGAGGGGATCCAGTGCATCACACAAGGAAATGTTAACCACTCATATTTGTAAGGAGGTGAAGAATGTAAGGAGTGCTACAATTCTGTTAGTAAGAAACTCGAAGGAAAGAAAACATGGATGAGAATGCTGAAAACAGAGGAGGAGAGAAGAATCAGCAAGAGGGAATTCCAAAAGAAAGTGGCCAGTGAAAATTTTACTATGGTGGAGCTACTGAAGAACATTTTAAGAATGAAATTTTCTAACATTGTTATCATTTAAATTGCTTATTTGATTTAAAGCTTCCCATTCTCTCTCCCCATTCCAATATGTGTATGCATGACCCTGTGTGTGTATATGTGTGTGTGTGCATATTACATTGTAGTTAAAGTATATTATCTTTACAAATGTTTTGTATAAAAGAGATTTTGGTGAAATCAATGAGTTGAGTTTCTCATTTTTGTTTTCTAAGAGTAGGATAAAGGAAACAGAGAAGCAGAGGCCACAGTTTGCACTCATTCCTCCATTTAATCAGAAGATAGTAATTGCATACTTGCTATTCTAGGCAAGGAGGATGGAGACAGAAGTTTCCTTTCCTCATAGGGCTTCGATTCTAGAAAGTAAGAGAGCTAACAATAAATCAAAACATAAAATAATGCCAGGAAATACTAAGAAAGATTTTAAAAAAAAAGTTAAAGCAACTAGATAAAAAATGATATGTTACAAGGAACAATAAGTATTTCCACTGACTTCTCATCTGCAAAAGGTAAATTCAGAGGCAACGGAACAACACCTCTAAAGTGCTAACAAACAGTAATTGTCACTTCAGAATTTTATATCACAAAACTATCTTTCAAAAATAGGGTGAAATATAAACTTTTTCAGATTTAGAAAAAGCTGAGCAAATTCACTGCTGGGAGATGTACATTAAAGGAAGTTCTTCAAACCAAAGGAAAATGAGACCAGATATAAAGCAAAATCTATAGAAAAGAATGAAGAGCAACAACAATGGTAAGTAAGTGTGTAAATGAAAGACTTCATTTTCTTCTTGAAACTTTCTTAAACGACCATTGAATTTTTATAACAAAACTATGGTGATGAAGTGCAGTGGCATCTTGTGTAGAGGAGCAGTGATACAAATGTTTTCTAGCTTGATCTACATAGGATTATAGAGTGTTTACATAAGTTAAAAATTCATCAAATTTATGCAAGTTATACCTCATTTACTGCATGTAATTCTTCCTCAGTAAAGTATTATTAGAATAAAAGACCATAAGGACACAGAAAGATTTAAAGTTCAGTGATAGAAAAAGATATAACAGGAATATATAATAAAAGAAAGCAGTGTGGCTGTGTTAATATTAGTCTAAATGGTCTCTAAGGAAAAATTATTATAGCTAAAAAAGATGTGTTATGTAATAATAAAATATTTAATGCACCAAGAAGATTTTAAAATGTAACCTCACAATATAAAGCAAGAATGAACACAACTATGAAATAAAAACAGAAAAATCTACCTCCAACATAAGATACTTCAACATATCTTTCTCAGGAATTGACAGATCAACAAAAGGAATTTTAGTAAGTTGTATAAAATGTAAACAATAGGCCGGGCGCAGTGGCTCACGCCTGTAATCCCAGCACTTTGGGAGACCAAGGTGGGAGGATCACCTGAGGTGGGGAGTTCAAGACCAGCCTGATCAACATGGAGACACCCCAACTCCACTAAAAATACAAATTAGCCAGGCATGACTGTGCATGCCTGTAATCACAGCTACTCGGGAGGCTGAGGCAGGAGAATAGCTTGAACCCGGGAGGCGGAGTTTGCAGTGAGCCTGAGCCAAGGTCACGCCATTGTACTCCAGCCTGGGCAACGAGAGCAAAACTCCATCTCAAAACAAACAAACAAAAAAATGTAAACAATACAATTAATAAGTTTGATCTAAAGGGCATATGTAGACTATTCAACACAATTAGAAATTGTATTAGTCCATTTGTATACTGTTTAAAAGAACTTCTCGATACTGGGTAATTCCTAACAGCAGGAGGTTTAATTGACTCACAGTTCAGCATGGCTGGGGAGGCCTCAAGAAACTTACCATCAGGGCAGAAGACAAAGAGAAACCAAGGCATCTTCTCCACAAGGTGGCAGGAAGGAGAAGTGCCAAGTGAACAGGGAAGAGCCCCTTACAAAACCATTAGATCTTGTGAGAACTCACTCACTATCCCATGAACTGCATGAGGAAAACCACCCCCATGATTCAATTACCTTCACCTGGTCTCTCTCATGACATGTGGGGATTATGGGGATTACAATCCAAGATGAGATTTGGGTGGGGTCACAAAGCCTAGCCATAGCAGAGAAGCCCTTTTTTTTTTTTTCCAGGTACAAAGGGTACATATACAACAACTGACTATGTGTCAGGCCATAATTATAACAAGCCTCAACCAATTCCACTGACTGCAACACAATTAACATTTAAAAGTCAGTCATCAAAACCCTAGTAGTTAAGAAATCTTAAAAAACGCATTTCTAAAGTACTCATGCATCAATAATAATAATGAAAATAAGAGAATCAAATTTGAGACTTTTGCCATCAATTAGACCAGAGAATGGTACGGTTGTTAAAAAAGAAAGTGGAATTCATTTTTGTCTTAAGACGGGAGATATATGGTGTGTTTGTGTAATGATGAGGAAGTATCCTCAGAACGCAGGGAGAAATGATGATGCTGGTAGGGTAATGGGAAAGGCAGAGTCCTTAGTCCTTAAGTATTGTTAGTATAAAAATCCATAAGGACACAGGAGGACTTCACTTTAGGGCAAAGTGAAATGGAATAGAATTCTGCCTGCAGGTGGAGAGGTTTCCCTTAGCGTCCATCCATTCAAACGTGAAGAAAGGCAGAGGCTTTGGGAACACAGGTGGGTAGATGGGGACATTTAGCAGGGAACAGATTAGAAGTGATCCTCTGATTTTTTTTTTTTTTTTTTTGAGAAAGAGTCTCACTCTGTCACCCAGACTGGAATGCAACGGTGTGATCTGGGCTCACTGCAAGCTCTGCCTCCCAGGTTCAGGCGATTCTCCTTCCTCAGCCTCCCGAGTAGCTGGGATTATAGGCGTGCACCACCACGTCTGGCTAATTTTTGTATTTTTAGTAGAGACGGGGTTTCACCATATTGGTCAGGCTGGTCTTGAACTCATGACCTTGTGATTCGCCTGCCTCGGCCTCCCAAAGTGCTGGGATTACAGGCATGAGCCACCACGCCCCGCCAGTCCTCTGATTTTTAAAAATATTTTCTCAGTAAAATAAGCAGCAAGGCAATCAGTTGTGGTGAACAGTAGAGAAGGGATGTTAGAGACTTCAGGGGAAAGGACAATGTGTGTGGTCTTTGTCTTGGAGAGTGGGATAAGAAATTGGCCAGGGAAATACAGTGAGGCAACTATAAGAGCCCTCTTGATTTTATTACTCATAAATTTAAAGGGAATCCAGTCAGCTAGCCAGTCTGTTTCTTTCCCTAGCTGTGATAAACTGTTCTGCTGCATTGTGAAGTGTGCAGTGACCTGGACATATGCCCAAAGGATGGGATTTTGTCAAGAGAGGAAGGAGGAGAAATAAACCATCAAGAGAGAGGACAGAAGAGATCACAAAGATGAACAGAGTCTAAACTGGGTAAAAGGAATGTAAGATACAAGGAATGAAATCAGTGTAACAGCAATTGGGTCAAATGTGATATGAATGTATAAGTCCACCAGTGCATTTCAGAAGTCTTCGGAGATTTTTTTTAATCTCTTGAGGTCATGGAAATAGGGATTCTAGTTTATTTTCACCATACTTCAAGAAGCAAGGGTGTCACCTGGCATCTAAAATGGAAGGTTTTAAGCCACATTATGTATTTTATCAAATTTGATTTTCAGAACCTGAATAAATTAGAGTTAAAATCCCTAGTGGGCAAGAACTGTTGTTTATCTTGATCACTGCCATATTTTTGGCTTTTAGTCAAGTTCCTGGCCCACAGTACGTGCTTCATAAGAATGTGTTCAATATATTAATTAATCCCAAATTTACAGATTAAGAGATGGAAGTCAGAATGGTTACAGAACTTTTCCAAGGTCCAAGAGACAAAAATAAATGAAGCCACTCTAGGACTCAGTCTTATGACTCTTCTTAGACCAGCTCCCTTTCCACTTGCTGGTGCTACTCTCGGATTATACAAGACTGAGAGAAAGGTGAAGAACTGTCCTAAAGAAACCAGTTTACCCTCCTACGTTATCCCTTTGTACTCCTTGTACTGTCTAGCTAAAGTACGAGGCATCTGAGGGACTGGGGTAGACTTGAGGGGGAAAATACAGCAGATGATCTGATACAGATGCATATAGAGTGGTGGCTTTCAAAACTTTTAAACTGTGATCCACTGATTGTATATACATATTATATCACAACCCAGCACAAGTATTTGCATACACACACACACTGAAAAAAAGTTTCCTGAAGTAATACTTACCTTGACTTCTGGCTACTAAACCTTACTTATAAGAGATAAACTCTGATATTTTCTGTCCTGTTCTATTATTTCTATATTATTCCATTCTTTTAAAAATGGTAGTAGCAACCAACATATGATTTCACAACCTTAGTAGGCAGTAATCTAACATTTGAAAAATACTATATAGAATGATTTATGTAAGTCCATGCCATTCTTTCCTCCTGCTTTCCAAGTTGAAGGAGTGGTCTCAACAGTTTTTTACAGACTACAGGATAGCTCATAGTCATCATCATGATGCAGTCATTCTACATTTGTAAAATATTTTGTCATCTTCTGAATGCTGATTCCCACTTTCTTTTCTATACAACACCCCTAGACCTGTGATTTAGGCAGAGAGATGCATTATCCATATTTTATAGCTTAGGAAAATAAAGTTCAAAGATGCTAAGTAA